GTCCCAACGCATAATAGTCAAGCAGTTGAGGTATGAAAGTTCAGTATTGCATGTAAGATTTCTGATTCAATTTGATTCACTTGTAGTTCTCTTTATACTGTTAGAGGTCTAGAGTGCCATATGAATAATTCAGAGTAAGAAAGACAGTTTAAAAAAAAATTAAAGTCTATTCAATTTGATTAATAAGTATTTTATTCTCTAAGATCCACAGCATCTTACTTGCTGACCCCGTCATAGAAGAGTTGGAGTTTTGGGGGTGGTTGTGGTTATAACATTAACAATGAGATTATACACAGCTAAGAATGTATTTCAGTCGATACTTTATTCATGAACAATGTCTGATGTCTAAAAAGCCATGTAACAGCAGGCTTGTTTTTGTAAGTCATCTTCTAGTTAGCGTTGTGATGAATCAAAACCACGCCTTCATTGGTTGTTTTTCATCAAAGCAACTTGTCATTAGACCCGTTGCCCAAATGAATCAATAACACCTTGATCAACAAATACATTCATGATAGTTATGATGATAGTTATGATTCATCAGCTTTTTAATTATGAATCAAGCCAAGCTTTCGAGCATAAAAAAAGAAAAAGAAAACAAAAAACAAAAAACAAATAACAAATACATTGTTTACCGTAATTGTTTCCAATAATAAATCGATTCTCCTCAGTTGAGTTTGGAGGTCTTCGGCCCATACACCAGTACGAATAAAATCTCTAAAAGCCTTTTGATTCGTTATATTTTCTAATTTGAAAACATACATAAACTCTATAATGTTTACTTTGTTTTTCAGTCAGAGATGAAGACACCGTAAATAATCGCAGTTCAGAAATGAAAAGTAACCAGTAACCTAACTCGCATTCACGGTCATCAGCGAGAACTGTCTTTTTTTGCTTTGACACCAATTTTCAACTTCATCAACTGRCTTTGTTTCACAGCCCCTCCCTGAAAGCAGTGCAGAATTGAAAAAACTTCGCTTATCAGGCGTGAATCCAGACAGGTTTAGTTCCCTTTTCGGGAAAACGGTCAAAATTTTAAAAGAAGCAGTACGGCCGGTTCGAAAAAAAGTAGCATTTTTGCCTGGATTCAAGCGCGGCTGCTGATTTGTAGCAAATGTAGTATTTTATCAAGTCTCTTTTACACCATTAAAAAAAAAAATTTATAATTATTACAAATATTGGTTAAATTTAGTAGGAAAAATGTCGACGAAAAGTTGTAATAACAATTTAAACGATAAATTAGATATAGATAATAGATGATGTAATATAAGGCAATATTACAAGATTCAACCTTTTTCGTTCTGTTTTTGTTTCATTTTCAAACATTAGCAAAAATCCATTTTAAGAATTAATATTAATCAACATTTTCCGAGAAGATAATGGCTTGCCAAAAAGGACCTGTAAACTTGCAGACTTTTAAAGATGGCTGTAATGTTCACTAACATTAAAACATGATGTATTTCCATTTTGTTTTGAGGCTACTTAGGGTTTAAGATTGTTTTGAAGATTCTTGCTGTTGTCAATCAGCAGAACTGAGTAGGAACAAAGATAACACAGCCAGAGCAAAAATGCTTATCGACGATAATTTTTTTTTTTTTAAATTTTTGTTTTCATCGTTTATCACTAGATCATGAAATGAAATTTTTCTGAATTTAGTCCTACATCAATTAGACTGTCAAAAGCTTTGCCCAAACTTTCTGCAAAAAAAAAATAAATAAAAAAATAAATAAAAATAAAAACAATATTACCCCCAAAAACCCAAGGTTAATATTTTTTCTCCAAGAGTAGACGAAGAAAACAAAAAAGGCAAGATAGCTATAACAAACAACAATGATTAATGAAGCTCAACTTTTTAAAATTCATTCCTTCATATCATTCATTGCGAAACTGACGATATTTCCCTAAGCTATTTCTTTTTCATTTATGAAATAGCTCGTCGCCTGGTTGCCTTGTTTCAAGCTGAAATATGCACTAAATTTCTAAATGAAATTTTGATACATTATAATGTCTTGATTTACCCTGGTGCTACTATTGTTTTCAACACCTGACAGTCAATCTTTCTGACGGGAGGCTTGTCTTTTGGCATTAGCTGGTGGCTACATTGGAATGAAACCAACTGGACCGGGATTGTATTCAAAACTACTCATTCATATTCTTACACAATACAATAAATCAAAAATTGTGCAACTGAAAACTGACGCTCTTTTTGATTTATTCACGAAAACTCAAACCTTGTTTATTTTGATTTTGTAACCTCAGAAAAAAGAGCAATATTTTAAAACTTTAACTGAAACTAAAAATCCGTTGATTGAAATAGTGAGTGAGCGAATCAACAGCAGCAAAACAATTCCAGTTTTTTCTTTAAAATTTTGATTTTTTTAAATAACTGATTGTGATATTTGAAACTAATCAACTCATTTATTTAAGCTTATTTCGAAATCATTACAATCTCGGTATTTTATTTTTGAATAATTGATAGTCGTAGCTGTGTTAATGATTATGCCTTTATGGATACGGCTTAATTAACTGATCTCCTCCTGCAGCTGACAGTCTTCGCTCTAGCTTAATCTAGTTATTCTAGAATAAAACCCTTTGATTCAAGACACAATTTCCAGGGTAATCCTTAACAAGACCTAGAAAATTGAACCCTAAATCAGGAGATGTAGATTTCAATTATTTGTCCGTCAAAAGCACAACCGTTTGGACTAACAAAAGATGGAACAAAAGATATGTGGTTGAAAAATATTGACTGATTTGACTTTGCAGCCATAGTTTAAAATTTATGGTGCAACGAATCGCGAACCTTGTATTTTGTAGGCTTTAGACTTCCTAGGTTTCAAAACCCAGGGGAGCAGAAAATACAATGATCGGCAACGTAGAAGATAGTTCTTATTGTAGCTAGGGTTGTGTCTTTACAGCGAACACTGCTCATTTCATGTCATTAAAGATTTGAATAAAAAGCGCATTGAAAAACAAAGCGGCACTTCTTGATCTTTTAACTAAGGCTTTGCAGTTCCAAAAGTATGCAACTGCACTCATAGTCATCAACAGTTTTTAAAGGGTCTTCAAAAGAGAAAAGACTATGATGTAGTTAGATCTCAATCTGTACAATGAGCTGGATTTTAAAATGCTTGAAAGAATAGTACGACAGTTGCATTTTTTGGTCTTATAATAGTGGTGTTCACTTCATTTTATTTCACAAAGAACCTGAAGTACCACAAGCTCCCAGCTGGGTTGGACGTAGCGACTGTAAACACAGGTGCGAGTCCACAGTATGACATTTACATTCGCTAACACCTTTATCAATACCTACTAGTACTTTCTTGTATCCAACTGGAATATTGCCAATCATTGGTCTAAAACTATAACCAAACGACTGAACTCACTACAAATTCTATTTTAATATGGCTGACTTTGAATAATGCCCAGCAAACCATAACTCGCAAGTTAACTCTTTGTCAAAGATGATACAATGTTTAAAAGTGTTAATATCGATATTCCCTTGCGTTATCTAAAGCTAATTTTTACAATTTAATCTGCACATTGTGTATTGTATTTTGTTTGTCATTGATTGTATTTTGATTGCTCCGAGGGCAAAGTTGGAAAAGTTTTTAAACTTTCACTCATCAGGTCTTCAAGAATGAGCAGTCTCCCACTGTGCTTGAAGCGCGTAAGATTCAAAAAGGTTCACTCTTTCGTGTTCTTTTTGGTATGTAGTAACGGACAAGCACATAAAATATTGGTTTGTGCGAAAAATAATCCATTAATTGATATTGGATGCATGTGTCGGTCAGGCTGACTTATAATCTGTAAGTTGTCTAGGAATTAAAATTTGATTCAACGTTGTTATGTTTATCAGTGACTTTGGTTGAATCTCGATTTGATCGTTGATTTGAATGCCTTGAAGACGCCCTGTTTTCAATCATTAAAGCCTCGTTYAGCTATCTTCAGTTTAAGTTTCATTTCACGTAAGCATAAGATTCAAGTGATTTCCACAGTCTAAACTTTGATTAAGACTTCAACTAGTAGTGACAGCTTTTTAGTGTATCGAGTTGCTCTTTCAGGCAAGTTGACATTTCTCCTAATTTAAAGTCCATTGAATGAGTAAATTTCTTTTTTCGACTCACAGCAGACCCAGAAAAAACAAAACTAAAGACGAGTGAATGGCAATTAATTTACTCATAGAAAGTTCATTAAGTAAATTACTAAGGCAAAGCAATAACTGTGTGTCGGATTTTAAAGGTTGGATGTCAGACTCTAGAACGTTGAGCATACAACAAATGCTGTGTAAACAGACTCRCAAAGCAAAATAAACTTCTGCTTGTATTTTACATAAGTCCGAAAGGCTTTGCGTTAGTTGAGGATAAATTTGGCGAGCAGATATAAAATTGTGCAATTCTTTGCACGGTTTTGAAGAGCTCTTTCCAAGAACAAAAGGATGAGTGAAGTATTAAGTGATTTCTATGGACGACAGATGGCAAGTCTGCAGGTGGCAAATAGGAAAACGCAATGATCCATTGAGAAAGGGATGATTGGTTCGTTATTGTATTCAAAAAATCCCAAAACGTGTGGTTTTATAGAATGTGTACAAAGCTCCCATAATTCCTTGCGTGTGAATACAGCTGCACGTCAATGTCAAAGGGCTCCACGAGAGAGAGAGAGAGAGAGAGAGAGAGAGAGAGATAGAGATAGTGAGAGAGAGAGAAAATATCCAACAGTGAAACAGGCTGAAATCAATCATGCATATTCAGGCAGTACTGTTGGTGTGACTATTGATTAAAGAATTTTAAAGACTTCTACAGAACGACAATCGATCCATTACATCGCATTAACTATATCTCTCTCATAAGCAAACGATCAAATCATTAACCAAACTAACTAGCTACTTGACTGGTATCCGCGAGGGTGGACGGCGTCCGCGCGCAGTCACACTTGACCAAGCGCGAGACGCTTATATATATATTCATCTCSGTTACGTAGGCGGGTATTGTCTTCGGCCTTTGAATGAATGAATTTGAATCTGAGTAAGCTAGGAGTTTTTCACATTTTCGGTGTACGCCGGCTTGAGTACATTCGAAATTGCCCGCGGAGCAAAGATTGGCCAACCCAGGCTAGGTCGATCGTAATCAGAGTAATATCACCTTAACAAAACTCAAAAAGGTATAAAGCACTTGATTTTTACTAGGCCGACACTTCTTAGAGATGTTTATATTTTATTCACGTTTTACTAGACAGGAAAAAACGTGTGAATCATGTCGTAAGTCAACTTTTACGTTTTACTGATTGATTCTTGTTCCGCATCACAGATGACTCTTGCCGCTGAACAGATCGTACTGGATACTTTTGGGACCGACTTTGAATCCCTTCCGTCTTCACTCTTCAAAGACTTTCACGCAGATTGTTACGATATGAAGGATAAATCTGTAACAAAGACTGAAGATGAGGACTTAAGGATCTATGCTTTTCCACCTACTCCGCCAATTTCGCCTGGATGCTCGCCACTTGCTTCTGAGACAGGGGACTTGGAGCGTTTACATCCGATTTGTGATGAATTCGCTGACGAACTCAGTTTTGCAGACGAAAAATCGCTCTATTTCCAAGAAGACAACTTGAAGGAAATACTCATAAAAGATTGTATGTGGAACGGCGCTGTTTTTGAAGGAATTGAGAAAGATAAGGACAAAACCTTGCAGCAAAAATCCAGACAACAGCAAAGCCGGTTCGAAAAGATCCGACTTCTATGTCAGACACCRCCGATCACTGAGTACACTGCGAGAGTCTTAAGCGTGGATCCTGCTGAAATCTTCCCTTTTCCTGTTTCTTCAGAGACAGTCAACGATCACAGCGAAATGGCAGCTAGTGATTCTGGTAAGTGTTTGTGTTTAATAAGTAATAATTCATCAGATAATATATTTTCCATGCCCGTCTGAAGATCAATGATTACTAGAAATACTCAGTCTTGATTTTCCAAGACCGTTCATTGATCCATTCATAAAAGTCAGTGAAGTGTGATCCATGTATAGTATTTTGTGTAGTGTGAGTAAACTAGCGCGTGACTGAGCAGAGGGTTCGTAACAGTATTTTTTCTGAGTAAGTAGTGAGCGTCGCTGTGCGGCAATAAGCTGTAATTGAAATTGGAGTGTAAATTACATCAAAGTGTTTTGTTCACATCGAGTAGACCATTTAGTTCCTGCAGGAAATGGATTCAAATAAATTCATTGCCCCGGTCGCTAGCTCATAGATCGAGATGTAAATTTTCTCAATTCAGAATCACCTAACTTATTTGTGTACATTTGCTTTATCAGAAGAAGAGGAAGTTGAAGTAGATGTCGTTACAATTGAAAACAGTTCCAAAACCGACAATGTGGAGGGTAAAATACATCCTACTATCAGTGCTCTAGCTGACGATGCCGATTCATTYGATGGAGCTGAAGTCCCAAGTCCTACCCCATCAGACGGGTCGCGTTTTGAGGATTTTGAAGACGAAAAAACGGAATTAAATGGAAAAATACGCGCAAGACGATCTCGAAAAACATACTCGCATGAACTTACGTTTTACAAGCAGGGAAGAAAAGCATCGAAAAATAGTAGCGTTGGTTCTGGAGAAAGCGATGAATCTGAAAACGACAGTGAGTACACGCGGGCTACGCATAATGTTTTGGAAAGAAAGAGACGTAATGATCTAAAGCTAAAGTTTCAAAGACTGCGTGATGCTGTTCCTGAACTGAAAGACAACGATCGAGCCCCTAAGGTATCAATTCTTCGAAAATCATGGGAACACATTAGCTTCTTAAAAAGAGAAGAGGTTCGCCTCGTAGGAGAACTCGAAAAGCAAAAGAAAGCTAATACTCAACTGTTGAAAAAACTGCTATTATTAAACACGGCTAGTCAACAGCAATGAACAATTGAACAACTAAATAAATAATCCACTAGCTAAGCATTAGAGTACTAGTTTTGAAATTGTAATATTTAGAAGGCTTTATATCATGGATTTATATATTTTCATGTAATTGTAGATCTAACTGACGCTCAAGTTTAGCTGAATCATCATTTGCTTAGCAGGCGTAGGAGGGCTGCGTTGACCCGTAGTCTTTGGTGTCAGTTAGTTAGAAAATCATCAAATTGAAATAATTATAGCATGTCTGTAAAAAGAGATCAGCGCACAAGCTTCAATAAGAAATTTGTACATACACAAAGCAACCCAAGCACTTGTAAAGCTCACACTATTTAGAAATCGATAAAGTTAAGAGAATTTTAGCTACATCTCTAGCAATTCAATAGACTACAATGAATAGCCAAGCAAAAAGCCGTAAAATGAATGGCTTGCTCAACTGGTAAAATTGTTATTAGAATTTCAATTTTTATAYGCACTTTTTCGCTATGAAAAGCAAATAAATGAAAGGAAATGAAAAAGAAAGGAATCAAAAGAAGTAAACTGTGTTATTTTTTTGAAAACTGGGTGTAGTTGAGGTAATTCATAAGAACATAGTTTATCAGAGTCTTTCATTGAAAAGATGCTTTGTTTCACTAACATCCATTCAACTAACAATGCAATACCCGATCAATGAAATTTCACCCTTACATACTAATGTTTTATCTTAAATACATGAATAACGAATATATTAATCTTGATTTATTACCCAAATTAAAATAAGTGGCATCTAACAAACTAAACTGGTTTTAATAAGAATAAAAACGAGGAAATATTGAAATGTCAAGGGTATTATTTGGCAGGTTATTTTTTATCTTGGATATTTCAGAATAATTAACCATTCTATTTAACCAATTTATTAAAAATTTTAAAAAGGAAAGTAAAAAGTTTGTAAGGGAAATGCTCAATGAGGAAAAATTCAAATTTATCATTTATTTTTTCAGTTTTTTTTGAGAGTGGAGAATGAATGTTAGTTACATAGATGCAGAATACACATTGACTAGCTTCAGCGCTTGCAATAGTAAAAAAACATTTGACGCAAAATGATGTCTCTAAATTAACAAATAGGCTTGGTTATTACTCTGCTCTGAAAAAAGCCTTAAAAGTTTTTAGGTTTTTACTAATTGAACTCTCCAAACAAACAAACAAAAAAAAAAACAAAAACAAAAAAACATTCGAGGGAAAATTGTATCTAGCAAGTAAAGTCGTAAAAGTCAATTGTATGATGTAAAGCCAGCTTCTTCAGTTTTATATACCACGACATGATTGACATGTAGTCATTGGTTAAATTGACTCGTAATCTTGCATACCCTAGAATTCATCTGCATTTATTTTCAAATGATAAATTATATCTTGAAAGCGTCCAATTTAATTTKTAATGGTCTGAGCTCTCCCCGAGGAATTTTTCATATGATTTTTKTGTGGATATTTTAAGAGTTACGCAATTTCCTTGTATAGGAAACTCCGCAAATTAAGTTGCCGTTTAGCTTTTATGATTGTTGATGCGTAGCAAAAATTGCTTCAAAAGACTTCATGCCGTAGTTCGAGTTCTGCAAATGTGAAACTAAATGATGAAGACTACGAACGTGTTTGCAAACGTGCAAGAAGATTTTAGTAGAGGTTTCCGAGTTTGCATGTAGGTGACAAGGGGGGAAAACTTGACCATCTCAGATCCATAAAGTTTTTTAAAACATTAAGCTTCTTAGCGTTTACACTACGATTAAAGCAAACTATCTCCACGCGCCACAACCACGCGTCCAGTTTTCAAACGACTTCCGGTTCAGTGATTTTTAGTGTTTACATATGCGAGAATTTGTGATTGTTATGGTAATGTTCTACAATAAAGCTATGGGCAGGTGGTAAATCAATGGCTCAAAAATAGAGCCTTTGTTCTCTGCAGCTGGCCTAAACATTTCTGTCGCTTATTATACAAATTAGCTTAATGCTCAGAAGATTAACTGTAGCTGTTGTCATAATTCTTCTTGTCAAACTTTGATTTAACTTCGGAGTCTATTTTTCTTCATTAAAAAGACTTCAAATGCTTCAAAAGCATCTCGAATCTTAACAAATGTATATAGATTTAGATGCAAATGTTTTCATTGATTTTGGTTTCTTATCAGAAAACACTTTAATTGTGTTTTTATGTGTTGTTTAAAAGAGAACGCTTGTTTAAAACTTTTGCTTTCGGGTTGAAATTTGACGATGTATTCGTATGGAAAACCTTTGACAAACGGTTCCAGGCCTGACGTTACCATTGTTCTATACTTTTTCGAGTTTTGAAGCGCTAGAATGTCTTTTTCACAACAGGCCAATTAAAAGATATTGAAAAAAAGGAAAACAGTAAGAGATAGCATAACAAAAACAACCTAGATATACTGCCGGAAATATTTACTTATGCTTAATGTTGGAAGACTCAGGCTGATTTGAAGTGCAATAAAAAAATCTTCTGTACTTGTTCCATAAACTTTTAGTAAGTTTTTGCTTTTTGTTAATTTTTCTGTTCGGTAATTAACTTGCAGAGTACAATTGATGCTTTCAATTAAAGATGAATCTCATTTCTATCTTCAACGACTGAATGAATCAAAAACGAAGCAAATATGTTGAAAAAGATACGCAAACCAACTTATAATTAACTGGTAACCACACTGATAGCTACGCTATCTGAAATCTATTTTGATATTTGAGAGTTTAGACTATATTTCTTAAAACTTTAATAGTTTATTTAAAAACTTAGTGAAATTTTGATTCTTGGCCGAGATTGCAGGAGTTTTAATCATAGTTTCATTAAACTTTACTGAAGAGAAGGCGCTTTTGTTTCTTTATAAATAACCGGGTTTTTGTTTGAAAGTGTGTTTGATATTCGCGATGACATTTCTTTGCACACTTCACAAATAACGTGAAAAATCAATGTTACATCAATTTAATTGCGTCAAATTCCTAGTATCTTACGCAAGTTTCAAGTCGAATAACTCTAAGGCCAGCTGGCACTGAAGTGGCTTGCCTCCAAACCCCATACCAACTGTCAATTACTCTAGGGATATGATTTACCAAGGGTCGAGTAAACATTGACAATCGCGCTAATAAAAGCCTCTAGTCTTGATCTGCATCATAAAAGGCAGGATTATGTGGCGTTACTTCAATGACTGACAGACTCATCTCTGCGCGTGCCATATTCGCACTTAAGCACGTAAAACAATTAAAAACTTCTTGAGATTCCTAAATATTCTTCTGCCCCGGGATTAACTCCTTTGCTGTTGATTTACTAAGCATTGAAAATGAGGTCTAATTGCTAGAAGAAATGTAAGAGAGGTTTATTTTAAGAGCTTAATTGGGTTTAATTTTTGTAAAAAAGAAAAATGAATAGCGCTGCATTAAGATTTTAAGAGATTGTTGTTGTCACGGAAAGTTTGATGCGCGGGCCGATTGTTTGCTTGCAAAAAATATTGATGCTTCTCTGCAGGGATCCTTGCTGCCACAACACGAAACTATGCCTTTTTCTCCCATCAAAAATGCCGATACATCCTGCAGACTGAAAAACCTCAAAATGCGTCAACAATGTTTAAAATGAGTGCGAACATCTCCAAATTGGACAGTTATGGGGATGATGGAAAAAGACTACAGAGGGTGGAAAAAGAATTATTTGAAGGCGCGCGTGCCAAGTGAGCGAAAATCAACCCAGATAACGTCAGTAATTAGACTAGCCACGCGACAACCTCTTCAAAAGTGCATCAGCTTATTTACCAGTATGACTTACTGCTTTTAATAAAGAAGAAAGCTACAATGAGCTAACTGTGGTCCAAAGCTTTAATTTTTAAATTCAACTTGTGCAGAGGGTTTCTATCATGCCTTATGATATGCATAGCTCTATTACTGCGGGTTTAGGTTAACAATAGCATTGAATTACTCTGTAATGACCTTGGAACCCTCAGAGTTCTAATTAAGTAAAAATATCCAAAAATCAAAAAGTCTTCAAACTTGTCAGTGTTTATAACTCATTTTTTCATGATCCGTTTTCGAAAATAAAACCGAAAATACTGTTGTGTGTGTTCTGTGTTTCCTCGGTAGACTATTATACAAGGATTCCGTGAGCTAACACTGTTTTATTTCGCTTTCATTCAATTCCTTTGGGTGCGGCTTGGTCTTTCGATATACTAATTATGTATCCATTGTAAACGGCTGCATAATTTAAGATCAATGCAGCGGTGATCCAGGCATTTGTGTGCTCTAAGACTTCATACATACCAAGCACAGCTAAGGTCTATACCGTTCCCAACCAAGCTACTGCATCCAGAAGCATTTAGCTACTGAAAAAAATCCTTTACGAAGAAAACTTAGAAGGTTTAAGCGAAGGACAATCCAGTTGAGGAAATGCTTACAAGTGCGTCATTGTAAGTATTAGTATTTTATTTACCGCGCGTGCCGATACTATGGACAATGTTGTTGCTGCTAAATATAAAACAAGTCCTCTAGTTATCTGTGCTATCTAAAAATTCAAGTATCAAAATTTCTTTGTAAACCAAAAAGTAGGAAATCCAACGGGTGCCATTCTGAAAGGGATTTTATTTCACGGTCGTAGAAGTAATTCGCTTAATGAACGCGCGYGCGCTCCCAAGCACTGCTCTTTTCCCCAGAGTGAACAAGAGAGTCGAACTGTGCAACTAATGAAATTACAATCCCAACAATTTTATTGCATTTATCGAATAAATTGGCTGGTGATGAATTTTGTAGGCTTGTTGCTTAGAAACTAATACCTGAAACTATTTGCTGATACGGGCTATTCAAATTTTTCCATTTCTTTATTCTTGATAATGATATTGTCAAAGGACCAGTTTGAAAACCCGACAGCTGTGTTCTTCAACTCTTTCACTRACCCGTATCACTGCAGACAAATCTTTATTATAAACACAGCTGAGTAGAGTTTCCAAAACTTAGAATTCCGACGCACTTAATGGACTTTAAAATCTGGAGTTGCTTCTCTGCAATTGAGTTAACGCTTGCAAAGGGAACATTTTGAATTGACGCAGGACTTTGTTTTGAAGGCAAAATGAAAGTGTCGAGGAAAATGAAAGTTCGTTTTGTTCGATTGCAAAAAACAGGTAGCTTCGTTAGAAGCAAAATACCTATGCGCTAAACACAATACGGTTCACGGGTACTAAAAATCTTACAGGTTTTCTCTTGTTCTGTTTGTGGCTATTTATTAATATTCAACAATCTTGTAACCCTCTAGATCCTCGGCTTCAGTGACTCTAACTCTTTGATACTAACAAACAACACAGTTGTTTTTAATCAGGTTCATTAGTTTGGATCAAATATTACTGCCTAAGATAACTCTTAAATCTGCTTGCTATAATCAATTAGTAATACATTCGTTGATCTCGAGACGAAGTAAAGACCCCACGCAATAATTATTATTCATGTTTGAATATGCAAATTAGTCCATTGTGATAGCATCGCATATTCATATTCATTCATTGAGAACTCGTATAGTCTTCATTGATGAGAGAGTGCTCAGAAAGCACCCAGTAAGGTTGTTACTATACTACCTCCGTAGTACCAAGCAAGGCGCAGTCAAATTCATTCGTCTTACGTTTCGCGYCCTTTCTAGCCTAGTACACAGCTATTTGAAGCAGGATAGTCTTAGATTAGGTAACCTCTARCTTTTCTATCTTTGATTTTTGGTTTTTACAAGTGTACATTTACTACGAGACTCTTTCTTTTGGACTTTAGGTCATTGACTTTGATTCTTCCTTGTTTCTAGATTGTGCTGCAACATGTTTTTCGATAATAACATCATACAACGAGGGGCAACCATGGCAGACACTACAAATCAAGAACTTATTTCGGATACCATCAACGAGGATCTCTACAATCCCTCCATTCAAAGCGAAGACATGTGGAAACGTTTTGCCCTACCGACACCGCCGTATTCACCCGAGACGTATTCCAACACTTCCAAAACCCACGTCTTCTCTCAACACCCTCAGAACAACCTCCAAGTAGTCCCGGACGATTTTCCTGAAGACCTTTCATCTGATCTACCTATGGTTCTTTCTGATGCTGAAATGGAACGTCTTACCTCCAGTACCTTAGGTAATGACTGTGTATGGAGTGAACATGAGTTGGACCCAAATACTACTATTCCACAGATCCGAGCTCCAGTCTGCCAGCTAGATAGCATGAGGGAGTCTCAAACATTATACTCCCAGCCTGAAAAGCATTTCAGAGAGTACCATACATTCCCACAAGGTCTACCAGTACAAAAGAGCTGTATGAATCAACAACACCAACAACAACCTCCTCAAAACTGGGCACCTTACGCAGGTAACGAACTTTCGCTTCTGTTCTCTCTTACTTTCGAAAGAGATATAGTGTTTATTTGCTTGAGCGCGGAATAATTGTACGAATTTCGCGGCTTGGTGTGTAGAACATCAAAATTAAGGTGCTCACGTCATTGATGGAGAGCTTGGCAACTCTTTAGATGAATGTCTACGTATTTGCACAGCTTTTTCTAGCAGAGCATACTTTTAGACAGCAGTGATATTTACAACTCCAAAACATGATAGTTCACGTAAAATGGAGAGCAAGCAGTATTTTCTTGGTGGGTCTTTTTTATTGTCTAGACTTGTTTCATACCACTAAACAGCTTTATTATTCAATGGTTTTGGGAGCTTGAAACACAGACACATGCAACAAGTTGTCGTCGCATGACGCAGAACTYTTTACTTCTATTTCACATCTGTAACTATAAGTTTAAAGGATTTTTTTACTATATGGCTTATCCAATTCGTTTAGCGTTTTATTTCTAAATACAAGTGTCTTTGAAGAAATGATTTTTTTAAGTACTAAGGAGTGGCAAGACCTTCAATATTCCAGATTTAACGCACTTATCTTCTGCTGTATTTTGATGGTTGTTTGAGCTACGTTTCCATTGTGTTCAAGAAGCCTTTCGTAGTTTCAATAGTATTGCAATAACTAACAAACTAAATCCCTAATCTATGAGCTAGACTTGAGTAAAATAAAAGATTCGCAGAATTTACTGCCATTTTTGGAGGTTTTAGGATGACGTTGAAATCAAATTGAGAAGCTCTTAATTTTTTGTGCAGTAAAAAACAGATAATCTCAGTGTGTGCTACCAATTACCTTATATATTGACAACTGTGCTTTGGAAATTACTATTTGGAAAATAGTAATTATACAAAAACAGTGAAATTGCGTTAAGACTACGAATTAAAACAGAAAGATTTCTTCTCAAAATGATCAAAAAATTAATTTTTGATCTTCACGGTAAACGTTAGTTTTGTTCATTTAATTACTGAGAAATTCAAACAACTTGGGAAATATTAATAATCATAATAAAAAAAAGAAAAACTTATTCTTTTTCTTTTTTTTCCAGTTGAGGCTAATTCTTCACAAGCAGTAAATTGTGCAAGGCCACCACAGCAAGAAGAGTTCGCGCCTCCAAGAATTGAAAACATAAACTGTAAAAGACCCCGAAAAACAAGACGCGGCAGTCGCAACTCTCCTCAGCGGCGAGAAAGCATCGAAAACGAAGACTCGGAGGACAGCGAAATAAGTCGGGCAACTCATAACGTTCTTGAACGTCAGAGGCGTGAAGATCTGAAATGCCGTTTTCAGCTTCTTAGAGACTGTATTCCAGAACTGGAAGAGAACGAACGCGCTCCAAAAGTGGCAATACTTAAAAAATCCCGAGAGTTTGTGCACCAGCTCATTCTAGAAGAACAACGATTGTGCGCAGATAAAGAACTTGAAAGACAACGAAGATTAATACTTCTAGAACGACTTCATACGTTACGGAATGGATATACGGTTATGTGAGAATGTTAGTCCTAGCCTATTCAACTCTTTTATTTTGAATAATATAAATAACACAAGTGTACAGATAGCTTAGTATCATTAATGACTGGTAGAATTTCAATTTTCTTTGGGATAACATAACTGGTAGTATTCTTTTAGGATTTTTTTTGGTACGACTTTCAAAGTAACGTAACTGCCAGCCCCCTAGGTGGAGTTTTCCAGTGACGTTTTAGGAGAGTTGTTTCTGAACGAAATTAAATTTAAATTCAATGACAATCGATAATCATACGACGCTACGTCTGGCGCATTTCTATAGGGTATTAGTCAAAGAAGAAAACTAATTCACAGATCTCGAAACTTAAAGAATCTTTTTCTAGGTGAAACCTAGCAAATCAACAATGAAGGTATATACTTTGCCCGGCTCCCTATTATTTGTCAGTTGTAAGATGTTTTGTGTACTATTTTTTAAGTTCTTTTTTATTTGAACTTTCTTAAGTGTCGAGTAAGGGTGTGACTAGCTAGGTTTGCTATTAGTCCGTCATCCAAAAAATTCTATTCTTGTCTGAATTAAGATATTTTAATTTTCAAATAAGTTATTTTTCAATTCTGTTGAAACATTTCCTAAGGTCGGAATCCATTTTGTTTTATTTTACTCTGATTTATACTGGTTGTTCGTGTACAGAATTTGACAGAAACGAATTCTTTTGTAGTCTTGTTGATAGCCAGGTGTTCCTTTAGATTGTTCAACAAATTTATTCATGTCGCTTCGAGTTTCTTTTCAACTTCGACAAAAAAATGTTCAGTAAAAGTACAACTTGAATCAGACGTAAGAACCAAATTTATCAAAAAACTCAAGGCAGTTACAAACGAATTCTTCCTGAAAAGAATCAAAAACATCCACTAAAAAAACTTTGCAGTTGCCAACGCCTTTATTTTACAAGGAATGTATTTGGACTTCGTAAGTCGATCGTCGACTATTCAAATTAGACAGTCCACTTTTCTAAAAAGCTTAATCATCAATTTATTTTTCTAGTCAACAGACTTCCGGTCTAAAATTCGGCATTTTCAATTAGATATTTGAATCATACTGAGAATGTTCATTTTCAAAATTTCCTTATTTGTAAATGAATTCCAGAATTCGAAGCGCGACAAATTTGTAATAATTACCCGCCGTGCCGTTCATAATTTTTATTGACAAAATTTATGCTTTAGTTTTTAATATAATTATATTTCATTCRGGTTTAGTTTAGTTCAAGTGAATACATTCTATTCTCGGATATATTTTTTATTGTAACTGATAATTAAAAGCGGTTAATCTCGGTGAGAAACCGCACGAATCCAATGTCTGGAAAAGCTACATTCGCTGGGCAAGGTATGGCTTACAGACAATGAATCAAAAAAACTTAATTAGGAATCTATGTTGTAAATAAAACGACCCTACTTCAGTATAGGGTATTAATGTACTTACTTGTAAAGAATTAGAATACAGGCGTATTAGTTTAATAATACTGTTAAAAACAATATAACTGAATATACATGAAATCATGGTGAATAGATAAGTAGAAATAAACAACATTTAAAGGTGAATCTTTGGTTACCTTTGTAATGAATGGGAACTTTGCCTAATTATGCCATTCTACAATACGCGATCTAAATTACGCAGCACAAAGCATTGATGATTTGTGAATCAATAATTCATCTCTTGATTCTACATTTCGGTTAAGTGTTTTTGATTTTTGCGCTTATTTTAATGGGAAGACAAGCAAATGTATAAGTTGTGTCTGTACTGGGCAAATACGGACCGCAGGAACTGACTCTGAATGTTATTGAAACCCCAAAACAACTGTCTAAATTAACATTGATTCTTTTTTATGGGTTATTATGATCATAGCAAATACCTAAATTATTCACTTCCTAAACGTCGCACAATCTAGACAACCATTACGTCATTCTCTACCTTCTCGCAGTTTTCGCGCGCACGGATAAACGGTCGCCGGACAGCTGAACCAGCCGTAGCTCGATCAGGCTCTAATACCGTGAATATACTAATATCAGTACACTCAGTATTTACGAATATTGCGCGCTGACAACAGTATGAGCTTGAAGTTTATAAAGACTTCCTTAGTGACTTTGAGGTCGCAGAGCCGCCTTACTGTAACAACTGGCACCAATTATAGTAATTATGATCATGAGTGATCTCTAATACGGAAAACTGAACTCGTATCGTTGCAATACTTGCTATCAGTCTTCACATCCACATACAGTAGATAAAAAAAAGCTTGAAATGTCCTTGTATGACAAAAAATATAACTACGAAATAAAAATCCTTAATGCACTGAACACCTATCAAGGCATTAAGGATTAAAACTGGTTTCATCCATTCATTGAGTTCCTTTCAATACTCTGTACGGTATAATATCAATAGGAGAACAAAAATGATTGACATTCGATCATTGAAAACTATGCAAAGTCCTGATAACAACCTCCCCTTAAACTGATTAATTTAGTTGATCTAACATTGCTGCTACCATCACGATAACAGAGAGAGGTTTTTTCCCGATCAGGGTTAGCAATGCCCGGAGGATGAAATCTCTTCATTAATCTTAATTCAATTATCCTTTTCAATTGTCCTCCCTCAATTTCAGTCAATTCATTCCTCTGTAAGCCTTACATTTTATTGGATAGTAAACGCTATCATCGCCTTCTCCACTTACTACCCAATCATGCTACA